CTCTTGAGCAGCCTGGAAGTGCTCAGGGAATTGATGCATCTGATCAGAACCAAACTGATCGCCGACCAGCATGGCATCAAATTGGTCCTGATGGACCTGTTGCAGCGGCTGCGGCTCTTGAACGGGTTAAGAAGACCCGGCATCCTGAGTGGTGGTAGTGGAAGGAGTGGGTTGGGGGGTTTTCTGGCTTTCTTCCGTTTTCCGACCTGACCAGCTGCAAGAACTCGACTATTGTCCATAGGTGCGTCTGGATTGGGAGCTAAAAAATGACAAAGGAAAATATTAGTACCGAGCGGCTTTAGCACGTGGGAAACAAAAAAAGAGAGAACGTTTCTCGCACGGGAAGGACCGCCCGGACCATGGCACTTGATTTCTCAAAACAAGTAAACCCAAGAGAACGGGCAGTACCTATCCCGACTTCGATTAGCCGATCGGGAGTCAGGTAACTCATGATATCTACACATTTGTCTTTCTCCACAACGAGCACGTCCTTGTAAATTTCCTCAGTAAGGACTGGATCAGGAGATTTGCGGGGGAAGGCATTCCATTTGCGGGGGATCAGGCCGTCCGGGACAGACACAAAGAAGAACCGATCTTTCCACCCCTTGATTGAAGTTGGATTGCCCTTAAACAGGATATGTCCCGTTCGGGCACTAGTAGCCAAATAGCCGTGTGTTTGTTGGGGGGCTACCTTAAAAAATGGTGAAATAAATCTAGGGTCGGCCGGGCACCGGTATCTTTACAAAGGCAAATAAAGCCCGCCATTGCCTGGTAGGAGTTCGACATGATTTGGGCCGGTACAATTTCGTAGAAATTAAAAAATGAAATGAAAAAAGAATGTAGTGGAAACCTAAGCCCGGTCCTAATTGAATCAAAATGGACTACGACCATCCCAGGGGTATGGCGCATTGGGTGAAGCCCATCTCGTAATCGGAAGTCCACTGGATCTGGGATTAGGGCCGGAATTTCAGCCCTATTATGAGAAGTCAGTTTTTGTCGCCTCTCCCTAATCAATCTTAGGTCAAGCGTATGACGGGGGAAATCGTTGGGACGTCCGGCCGCCATGGAAGTCAGCTCATCTTCAGACTTGGTGTCATCGGAATCTTCACTGGAGGAAGAAGAACTACCGGGGGAATCATCCGTCTTCGCCCTAATCTCCGTTGTCGCCACCTTGGAGCCCTCATCAAAAGGGACGATGATAATCTCCACATCACGGTCTTCCCCTTGGGAAGCCATTTCCGAATCGGAACACAGACGAGAATTCATAACGATCGAACCAAAGGAGAGAAAGATTCAAAGGAATGAGAAGTACCTGGACACAAAAAACTTGAAAGATTTGAGAAGAAGAGGCAGAGTAAAAACACGAATAAGATTGAAAATTCGAAACCCAGATTTGAGGAGTTAAAGGCTAATTTATAGCCTTACAGACGCTGTATCAAAGACCAATCAAATAGAGACACATCACTGAGACTATTTGAAATAATACGTGTCACGTGGAAGAGCAAAGATCAACAATCATGACGAATATGGGGAAACTCAAACGACAGCCGTCAAATCACGGTATGGGGAACTGACCACTTCTGTACCCCGATCGCCATTCGGCAGTTGCAACATTGGTGCTTATACTTCCTAATGCACTCACTGTCATTCGAGACATCGGAAGTGGGAGACTTGTGTTGGGATATTGACCCGGAGGCCCAATACCCGGATTAAAGGCCCAGGATATCCAGCCCAAACAACGAGTCCACTACTCTATGATAAGTAGGCCCAGTGAGATATTCATGCCGAACGAGGTTCGGGCCAAGTAAAGGCTGGCCCAAAACAGACATACCGAACGGGGTTCGGGTCATACATCATACTTGTTGCAAGTGCTTAAATGAATGACATGTGGCAAATGAATAAGTCCAATTTGTGCATAATTCTTATTTTTTAGTCCTATATAGGTAGTCATCTTTATTTCTAATTTGTTAGAAATAAGTCCTATTTGTGCATAATTCTTATTTTTTAGTCCTATATAGGTAATTATCTCTATTTCTAATTTGTTAGAAATTTGAACCACGGTTTGGTGGTTCGATTTATTTAGGTTCCATTTCATCAGTTCCTTCAAATTTTCAAAAGGATTTCCATTGATTACAAAAAAATAGTTAATGCAAATAACAACGTACATATAAAAAATAACTAACGTCAATTTAAAACAAAAACTTAATTAAGAAAGATAAAGAAACAAATTAAATGCACTTCTAGACAATATATATACTCTGTATTAGAAAGCGAATATCTTTAAATTTTACATACATTCATTAAACAAATATGTTTATATATGGAATATATATAGTGTAGCACTGACTATGAGAGCCTATACCGTACACTCGATTGTATGGTGCTCACCATACAATCGAATATCTTATCTTACATGTAATGCTTATTACATTTAAAAGAAATGAGCATTAGCATTTTGATAGCACAATTGAGTAATAAAAGTGTGCAATTGATTATTATTATCTACACATAATATATATGCTATAAATCAACTAAATCATTTAACTGTACTATCATTGTATTGTCATAAAAATTATTTAAGTACTAATGATATAATTTAACACCATTACTCATTTCATTTTGATTATATACTCATTAGCTATAAGTTAAAGGGAGAACTATCAAATAAGCCCTCGAACTTTCATTAAAAGTGCAAATAAGCCCTTTTACAGGAGGCTTTGTTCGGCTGTCACCATTTGGGGCGGTTTCCGGAAGACTTTTTTTATGAAAGTTTTGGATCATCTTCTTTTTTGATGAAAGTTTTGGAACTTTTTTGCGCAGTTATCCGAAATTCGGTATGAATAAACTAGACTTAATGAATAAGATGTTCAAAAACTTTCATCAACAAATTCCACCGGAACCCGCCCCAAATGGCAACGGCCAGATAGAGCCTCCTATAAAAGGGCTTATTTGCACTTTTTATGAAAGTTTAAGGGCTTATTTGATAGTTCTCCCCAAGTTAAAATACCCTTACCATGCACACGGTACAATCGGGTGTGCCATATAAGTTACGCACTGATTACGGTAACATATACGAGGTTAAATTTTATTTGTAAAGATTTTGCACATTAATTCATTTCATTTTTTATTAAAAGATATTTATTTAATGAACTTTAAAAAACTTATTTAAATTTCTTTTCAGACAAGTGTGTATATATATGTTCTAGATTTGCACGCTTAGTTATTTGAAATAGTTGAATAATAAGTTTAGATGACTATGAGCCCGTTTGACAGCACGAAAATCGGCTGTTTTGGTTGATTCTGCTGAAATTTATGAAGTTCTGGTTGAACTGGCTGCATTGGCTGATTCTGCTGATACAAGAAAAAAATATTTTTAAAATATATTTTATTAATAAAATAAAGAAAAAATTATATGTAAAAATAGTTAAAATGATCATCTACAGTAACTTCAGCCAATACAGCCAGAAAAGTAACTCCAACCTTACTTTTTCGGCTTATCACACAATTCAGCGCGCGAAAGCAAAGTTTACGTGTTTGGTAAAAAAGTTGACTGATAAACCTGATAAGCCGAAAATGAGGGTTGCCAAACGGCCTCTACATGTATTTGTTTTATAATAAAAAATTGTGTGCAGCTGTGGTAACAAACAAAAGTAATTAACAATCACTACCTCCATCCCACTAACTTTGGGACGGAAGGAAGTGACACGATTATTAAGAAAAATTGGTTTATGTTGTTGATATTGAATTGATAAAGTGATAATAAAGTAAAAATGATTTAGAGTCACACAAAATTTACCAAATTTTATATGGGACAATCTTAGTGGGATTTCTCGAAAAGGTAAAATGAGACAATCTTAACGGGACGAAGGGAGTACAATGTAACTAATATAACTAGGGGCGGAGGTAGGGGGCCTGACTAGTCACCGACTACCCCAAATTTGAAAAGTGTTTGTATTTCATCAGTTAAAAAATTGTCTGAAAATTTTATATGAAAAAATCTTTTTATTTGCCGCCCTGCCCTCAACTTTTACCTTTGGCTACACTGTTTCTAACAAAATACTCAGTATAAAAATATACTCCCTTCTTCCCAATTTGATAGTCTCATTTCTTTTGAGCGCAAGTTTTAATAAAGTGGATGAAAAAGAAAAAGTTATATTTGAGATTTGAGTATAATGAAGTGAAATGATATGGACCGCATCTTTCTTTCCAAAAAGGGAAACATGACCATCATTTTGGGACATCCCGAAAAGGAAATACAGGACTATCATTTTGGGACAGAGGAAGTAATATCACGTTCTTCATGAATGTATTTGTATTATAGTAGTTTCTAATACTTTATGAATATCACAAATTAAAGATGTAAATAGTAGTTTAGTATAACAAATCATACTGTCATTAAAGCCACAAAGTATATATGAATGTATTTTCACTCAATCCTATATACATAAGAGTTTTGCTAGATGAGAGGTACCTCATTTGTACCCCTTCTTATATTTGTGGTTCACAAAAGTCTAACACATTAAATGAATTGCTCCATTTTAATGAAGTGCTTTTGTGAACCACAAATATAGGGAGAATGTACAGAATGGGGTACAAATTGGGGTGGCAATAGCATTTGTGTATACATAAAGTGAGAATCATCACTCAATAAATTTTTTCCTCCCATTTTTACAATAAACGCATTTATAAGTTAGAAATTATTTTATCATATCTCTCATAAATACATCCACAAATTCACACTCTCTATTTTGTTATTCATCCTTAGGTATCACACCAAATTCCAAGTATCAACCATGGATCATATATCTCTATCATTATTATTTTATATTATTTTTCTTTCTTTTTCTTCTTTCATTATACAAAGTATTATTTGTCACTTTCACTGCCTATTATGTATGATTTTCTTTCTTAATCTCTCTTTTCGAACAAATCAAAGGTGCACTTCAAGTTTAAGAATAAAAAATCAAGATCATGATTATACTATGTAGTATCTCAAAATGTAATCAAATTGCAAATGATATCAATAGTATAAATAATTGAAACTTGCGTCCAAAGAGAAAAATAAAGGACAGAATCTTTTACAACAAAAATGATTAAACTGTGGACTGTGGGACAAAATATATGTTTAGGTGTTAATTGGAGCAATTTCTTGTACGGAGACTAATCGAAGGCAGAAAAGATAAAAGTAGCCGGAGACTGATCAAAAGGAAAGAAGAAAGCAGGAAACGATGATTAAGCGGCCGGAAGTAGGATAGAATTACAGGGAGTGCCATCAACCTGGAACCGATCGGGAGAATTTGCGTAGCGCAGAGTAAAGCGGCATTCCACCATATGCCGGAGGTACGTCGAGTTCTCAGCAAAGCTCGCCGCCATAGCGTTGACCGTCAAGTTGGCGAAGAACACGTTCATGTCAGGCTTGATGAGGAACTCCGGGGGAACGTCTTGCGCGTGAAGACTGAAGGGGAGGTCGGCGGAGGCGCGAGGGAGGATCAGTAGCTGCTGGGACAATATTCCGGTGGGGAATGCGGCGGACACCACCGGCACCGGCACGTCGTTCCCGGTGAAAGAGAGCGTCACCTCCACGGCGCTGCCGTTGTTATAGTAAAGGGTATGATTTGTGTTCGGGTTGGAGGCATTCAGGGTGAAGCTGAAGTCGGCCGTGAAGCGGCCGCTGCCGTCCGTGTTTATGTTAACGTTTGTGACGCCGGCGTCAGTGACGGAGTATGCCGGTAGCTTCTGGTCTGAGTCATGATGCTTATGGATCATGAACCTATACACACAAAAAATCCCTGTAACGATAAGTAAACCCACAAACACAACAATACATCCAACAATCCACTTGGTGTTCTTCCAGCACCAATCCAGACGGCGTTCGCATTTCAGACGGCGTTCCGATACCTCCTCCATCCTTAATATAGCTTGAAGTAATACTATTACTACGTATGTGATTTATTTATATATACAAATATACGATCCCTATATGTTACGTATTACTACGTTCTTTAATTCCTTGTTACTAAAAAAATAATAAATTCATATTTTGAAAATTTAAAAAAACTTTTTAAAAAATTAATTTATAATACGAATGATCTTGGATTAATTAATTAAAAGTTTTAGTAGTAATGATTATAAATCTTTTATTAATCAATAAGAAACTAACACCTCATTGATTTTTAACCCAAATGTATTGTATAAAATAATGTTTTTTATTTTTATATATGCAATATTGGTGTTATATGAAACATAATAGAATGTTATAAATTTTGATGTATTTTGATGTATTTTCTGTAAAAATTGGAGTCCAAATAAATAAGTTTTAATACATTAAAAAAAGTTTTTTCTCCTTTATTTTCTCCAAAAGAGCAGTGATAATATAATTTTTATAAATCAATAGAATTTTTAACTCGGATTTGATATATAAAATACTACCTTCATCTCATTCAAAAGTTCTCATCCACTATTATCCGGTCAACATAAAGTCTTCTTAATCTATCCTATGACTTTATATATCCATTTTTTATCAAATTTGAGTTTTTCTTTTGCGACTTTATAAAACTTTTGATGTAGTCTGTAGATACGTAAATTTTATTTACTATAAAGAATCTAATTATGGATAGGATCAATTAACTTTATGGTTAGTTAAATATCATAAACCGTGTGGAATCTTTCTACTGAACGTAGAAAGATACTCCCTCCGTCCTATTTTAGTTAGCCAAACTTGACTTGTCAAGTCAATGACATCTAACTTTGACCGATTATATGTTTATATATATAAAATATTAATAATATGAAAATGATCTTAAAATGTTCTTTGTTAAAAATACTATCATAAAAGTATAAAATTATTAAATTTTGCATAAATATATTAGTTTAAATAATTGGTCACAATTTACGACTGGAAAAGTCAAAGATGGCTAAGTAAATTGGGACGGAGGTAGTATATTTTTATTTTTATATATATATGATATTGGTGTGATGTGAAAGATAATAAAAACTTATGAACTTTGATATAATTTTTGTAAAAATTGGATTATAAATATAAAAGTTATATCACTTTAAAAAGAGAGATTATTTCTCCTTTTTTTGCTCCAAATCGGTTGTGATGTAGGGAGTTTTTTTGAAATAGCCGTATGGTGTAGGGAGTTAATTAATTGTTTTAATTGTTTTGATAAGAATTTGTTTTATCCAATAGGAAGCTGACATATCATTATTTTTTAACTCAACTTTGCTATATAAAAGTATAGATATAAATAGAATATATAAATGGCCTTTTTATTCCAATATTACTAAAATGAGTGAAAATGACAAAAATATGACTTGTTTTATTTTTTTCCAAAAAAGTGATTAAAGTGATTTAGTCCTTATATTTAATCATAAATTTATTATTTTAATAAGTTTGCAGCCACAAGCAGCTCTGCGGCCGCCTACTCCAGACCGTCGCGGTCACCGGCACCGCCACCGCCGTCACCGCCGCCGCCGCCGTCAGTCACTATCTCAGTGACTCCGGTCACATTGACTCCGGCCTCAGTGACTTCCGGCCACCGTGACTTCTGGCCTTAGTGACTTCCGGCCTTAGAGACTTCCGGCCACCGTGACTTCCGGCCTCAGTGACTTCCGACCACCGTGACTACGCGGCCCACCGACCCAGTAACTGCCCGTCCGCCCGGCCACAATGCCACCCCTTCCCCGTCCACAACCCCCACTCGTATCCAACCCCCTCCCCTCACCACACCACCGTTACCGTCACTGCCCAGCCCACAACGCACATCCTCTGCCCAACCACTGCCACTGCCCTCGGCAGATCTGAGACCAACCGGCCACTACACCGGCAGATCTGAAACCAAGCAGCCATCGCACCGACTGATCTGAAATCAAGCGGTCAACTCCCTGGCAGATCTGAAACCAAGCGGCTACCCTCCTGCCTCCTGCCCCTGCCAAACAACCACCTGCGTCCCCTCTGCGACTACTCCGGCTAGCCACTGAGATGACAGATTCGGCACCGGTGGCCCTAAGGACGGCAGATCTGGCACCGGTGGCCCCGAGGACGGCAGATCCAGCACCAGCGGCCACCCTGCGACAAAATTCCATCGAAGACGACGATGGATCTGGCCGAAGACGGCAATCCAGCAGCTCTGAGATTTAGATCTTCGTTCTAATCGAGTTCTACGAGGAGAGGGAGAGGGCGGCGACGGCGGTTTGAAATAGAAGAAAATAGAAGAAGACTAGGATCCAAGTTGTGCGCCGGAGGACGAGTTAGTAGGTGCAGAACGGTGGTGCAGAATGGCGGTGCAGCGGCAGGAGCGGCGGTTCTCTCCTCATCTCTGATTGCGCAAATCTCAACCAGTGAGGAAGAAGGTGCAGAGCTCCTGGATGGGAATGAAGCGCAGACAGGAATGAAGAGCATGTTTAGCGTGTAGGGTTGGAAGAAAATGGAAAAAGGAAGTCATATATTTGGAATAATTAAAAAGAGTTATACTTTTGTCTATCAGAAGTCCAAGACTAATATCTATGCCATTTTTTCTATATAAATAGTGTAAAAAGTGTAAATAGTGTATAAATAGTGTAAATAGTGTAAAAAGTCTAATATTGCAATAAAAAAGGCACAAAGTTAATATATTAAATAGGGAGTAAGTGCACGCCGGCCGGCCAGACAGGCTGTACGTTCTATATTCTTAAAAAAGTTAAAAAGGCCGGTCACCGTAAAATAGGCTGTTTAATTTCTTAAAACACCGGAAAAGCCAACTGCTACGGGTAAAGTAAGACGTGATTAGGAAAAGGGTGTTCTCAGCGAACTAGGTCTCCTATTAGGCTATTCCAAAATCCAAATTTCCCAAATCCAAATGGCACTTTTCACTTTCTTCTTTAAGTTGTTGAGTTGTTTGGACTTTGGAATATGACATTCCAAATGTTTTTTGGAAAATTCTACGGTTGCACTCCTAAATTTTGTGTGCACCGGTACACACATTTTCTTATCCAGCCACATTTTAGTATTGTGCTACTAAATATGATTAACGACTTGTAATGATGATTGAGTTATTAGCCTAAATATGATTGAATTGTTTCTTTAATTGGACTTTTATACCATATTTGTCCTTCCTAATATAAATAAGGTTTAAATATTTTTTAGTCTCTGCAAATATAGTATCCCTGCAAAATTATTTTTTTGTTTTTCATTTCTAAAATGTATGTTAGTTTTTCTTTTAGTCTACCTAATGATGGAATTTAATACGTATTTTAAAAATGTGAGTAATTAGTTTTTATTTTTTTAACTATCATATTTTCCTCAAAAAATTTATAGGGATGATTTTTTTAGTAATATACTAAAAACCAAATAATGCATAATACAAGAATGAAAAACATAAAAAAAATATTTTGCAAGGACTTAAATCATATTTAAACCTATAAACAATTGCCCCCTAGTTCCCTATACCGGTGATCCGGATCCGCGGCGTCAGCATCAGTGTAGGCCAAATCTTTAGCGGTAGAGGCCGGATCTTTAGCGCTGGCGGCCGACGTGGCCAGATCTGGTCAGATGTACGGTGGTGGTTCATGGCAAGATGTGCAATGTCGGTGGTCAGATCGGTGACGCCCAGATCTGACCAGATGTACGAAGACGGCGGCCAAATGTGTAGCGCCGGCTGCCAGCGGTCAACAGCGATGTTCGGCCGCATTAAGTTTTGTCAAGCTTCAAGGGGTACTTTTGTACTCCTGTTCAACTACAAATAATAATTCCTATTTTGAATACTTTTAAACTTTGCACATACTTTGACAATTAAATATTTATTTATTTCTATTTAAATAAATCTCCTTTGACGATTTTGTTCAGTTTAACCTTTTTTTCTAAGCCGGTGAAGGATCCAAATGCAAAAATGGCAAATTATTATGTTTAGTTAATGAGGATATTAGGTGACATAAGATTAAGATATAATGGGATGAGTGGTTAAAGAGGATGATGGGTGGTTAAAAAGGATGTGTACCAAAACACACCAAATTAAGGAGTGCACAGTACAAGCACCCATGTTTTTTTTTACATTTGGAATACTACGGTTTTTTAAAGTCAACTGACTATCCTTCCGAATTTTACTTTCTCGATACTCATTCTAATTTGATCATGATGTTTCTTATCAATGGTCAAAACAAACCACTTTTAATGTCTTATTTTGTGTATCAAATTTCTATTAAATTTGATTTTTATTTTTGCAACTTTGTAAAAATTTTAATGCAATTTCTTGGTACATAACTTTGTCCTCAAGGTTCTTGGACTGAACACGAGTGGTTCTTCCCATTTTGGTAGGTGTTTTGAGCTGAAGGGGAGAGTTTCTTACTTGATTGATCGACCTCTCAATGAGAGCACCAAATAATGGATGGTGTACCCGGAGGTAGCTTATCCGAGAAGTTACTGTGGGGGGTAACTTAGAGAGAAGTCAGAGCAAATAACTAAGAGAGAGATTATGTATTCGATATGAATTTAGCGTGGTTTACAAATGGGGAAAGGGGTGCCATTTATAGAAGCAATAAATGCTAGATAGGGACACGTGTCATTAATCTGGTGGTCGAGGGGTCACCTCAACTGGGGTGGCACTGGCACTCGCATGTGGCCGCATTAAATGCGGTGGTTGAATGTGACGTTTGTACTGGGTGCGGCGATTTAGCGCATGTGGAGATGAGATTCTGTCGAGGATCGGAAGATCCCTTCGGCGGTAGGTGACAGCCCGAAGGCTCTGCGTACCGGGGGCCTCATAGTGCCGAGGGCTCCAATTGCCGAAGGCTTGGTTTTCAAGTCTTATTTTCCCGTGATGTTGCTGAACCCAATTTTGTCACTGGTAGCCTTCGGCAATGGGGCCGAAGGCACCCCTTCATGCATCGTGGGCTGCTTAGAGCTTCATTCTGCTGGGTTTGGCCCGTTTTGGACCTGTTGGACCTGAATGTAATAGTGGAAGTATGTGGGCCGGGGGTCCCTGGGCCATATACTCCATCAACATATATATCTAATTAAAGCATAAAAGTTTTATGAAAATATTACATATAATAACAAAATTTGAAAATCCAAGGAGAGCGGTCGCCACTGGGCCCCTTAAATCCATCTCTGACCTCAAGGAAGGCAAACAAATCCTTCAAGGGAAGGCACTGGACATTGCTCTGCTGCATTTCAAGTTGAAGGCTCTAAGGTCCAAAGTGAGGGGAGGAATTAGGGGTGGATTCGGGTCGGGCCGGGTCGGGCCTAGGCCCGGGCAGGCTGCCAGTTCTGAATAGGTGGGCCCAGGACCAGCCCGGGTAGCCATCGGGTCCGGTCCGGGTCCGGGCCGGGCCTAGCCGAGCCTCGGGTCAATTTTTTTTCCTTTTCCTAATTAACCCCCCTCCCACCCCCAACCCCCCAAACCATCCCAAATGGCCCAAAATACCCAGCCAACCCTGAAAAGTAAAAAAAAAAACGAAAAAAAAAAACTAAAAAGTCCGGAATCGAGCCCGAACTGGATGGGCCAGTTCGGCTTTTGGGTGACCTGAGCCCGCACCTGGAACCCCTCGAGCCCCGCCTACCCGGATCGGTGACTGGCCGGGCCACCAGGCCGGGCCGATTAAGCACAGTGCCGGTTCCGGGTCGGGCCACCCGGCCCGAGTCCACCCCTAGGAGGAATCATTGTGTTGCGGACTTGCGGTCATATCTACCGTGAGAGGAAGCCTACGGTCAAAATTCTTATCTCCTACCTAATAGAATAGTAGGAGTTTTCTTGAAATAGAAACATAATATGTAAATTTTCAAAATAGAGTTACTATGTTTTAAAAGGTGTAAAAATACCCCTATGTTCCTATAAAGGAGCAAATTTACCCGTACTCACTTTAAATAAATAAAATAAATTCTAAAACACTAAAAAAATTAAAAAATCGAAATTGAAAAATAAAAAAAATTAAAGAATTCATAATAAAGATTTATTTTTATGTTAAAATATTAACTCTCTAATTTGAAATTGCAAAACTATTATTTTTCCGTTATAAATGAAGCACTTGAAATTCCTAAGTACTACTTATTAATGTTAGTCTTGTTGCGAATTTTTGAACACGTTGTCACTTTTTTTGAAACAATATTCTTTAATATTGTTTTATTTAATAAAATAAAATTTACTATTTTGTAATCGTGGACTATTTATAATCATACATAATATGTAATTTTATAGTGCAAAAAATCTATAGTTTTGACATAATATTTTATTCTAACAATAATAAAATGTGATATAAAACTAATAAAAGGGAGAATTGGACAGAAGTATATTTTTATTTTTATCTTATTTTATTTTTTAATTTCAAATTTATAATTTATTTTTTCCGTTTTTTGAAATTTATTTTAACTATCGAAAGTCAATAAGGGTAAAATTTGTTCCTTTATAAGAACATGATGGGTTTTTTCATCTTTTAAAAGGTTAGGGGTATATTTATTCCAAAAAATAGAAGAGGAATATATTTTTTCCTACACACATACTATAGGCCTTTATCCAAATTTATAGGCCATTTTATAATACTTAAGGCTAAGACCCCTAGTGCTATCCTCGAGTTAAGTAATTAGCCTCTAATGGTTTTGATTTTTGAGATCTGCACTTTTCATTGTAGCTTCTATATCTATAGTACTATCCTCCGTTCTTTAGTTCTTGCAACAGTTTGCCAACGCACAACTTTGAGTGTAAATATATTTAATTATGTATTAGTAAACATTATAAAAAATTTGATATTTTGGAAATTCACATTGATAAGAATTTAATAACATTTTATACATAATAATTTGATTATGTATATTAGTAGAAAATCGTTGTCAAAGTAAGGTCTGTGAATAGTGCAAAAATCACAATGTTGCAAGAATTAAAGAACGGAGGAAGTATATACTATTTCGTATATGCTACCTCCGTCGTCCTGGCTTAAGGTTATCATAAAAAAATTACATAATTTCTAAGAAAATAATTAAACAAGATAATTAGAGTATATTTTGAAAAGTAGTTTGAGTTGGTATATTTTGACAATTTCTATCTTATGCTTTAGGATGTTTTTACTTGGACTGTAATTTGCTGGTCTGGTCTGATCTGGTCTGGTATGGTCTGGTCTGAACTGGTCTTGTCTAATCCGGTCCGGTTTTTTTTTATTTTTATAACTATCCAAGTTTGGTCTGGTCTGAACTGATCTGGTCTGGTCTGGTCTGGTCTGGTCTGATCTGGGACGAATTACGGTCCAAGTAAAAACATCCTTAGTCATTAATTCCATATTCAATCCCGCTTTTGATTCTGGCCTGCTTCTTTTACTAAGCGTTTTGGACGCAGATGAGTTATATACCATAGTCGAGGGAGCTAAAAAAACTCACTGTCTATGATTGATGAGGATGTTGGTAGATCCACAGATCCACTAACGATGTTTGAAAGAATAATGTAAGGCTAAAACACCTCGAGGTTGAGTTGTTTGTTTCCATTAGAGCATCAATATAGATGCCATGATCTAAGACAGGAAAGAGACATCTTCTCGGGCAAAGGGAAAACGCACTTTTAGTCTCTGAAATAGTCGTCATATTGAAATGTACCGTATTTCTGAGTTTGTAAATGTCACCCTCAATTGTTCAAATTTCTGTAAATGTGGTACTTTGAGGGATGAAATGTGCTCCTCGCCCACATTGTACATTTCACCCCTCAAAGGACCACATTTACAGCAATTTGAACAATGGAGGGGTGACATTTACAAACTCGGAAATACGGGTCTCACATTTCAATATGTTGACTATTTCAGGGACTAAAAGTGCATTTTCCCTCTCACACAAATTATTATAAGTCTAACTTTACTTTTTTAGTTTTTCCTAGTCGCATAATTGTTCATTTGTTAGTAGCATATTTAAGATTTAACTTGACGGATGCCAAACCTTTAGGTTTGTTTTGTGTACGACCTTTGTTTTCACAGCTTCAAATAAGACAGGCATCACTTTAAGAAATATGGTAAGACCACCTCAACTAAGTGTGCATCTGAATTCACATGTAGAGGTCGTTTGGCAACCCTCATTTTCGGCTTATCAGGTGATGGAGTATATGGCCCAGGGACCCCCGGCCCACATACTTCCTCTACTA